TTGGACTGATATGCGTCCAGTGTGTCTGCTTCCATCTGCATACTGAAGGATAACTGTGTTGCGAGTAATTGTTGCCTTCCCACCCCAGAATTTAACTGAATACCGGATTGAATAGACCTAGTCTTTGATATTGTTTCTCTCCTTCTTCCATTAATCTGTCTTGAAGAATCATATACCGGGGTATAATCTAGCTCGTCGCGGACAATGACAGGCCAATCCAAAGCCATGCGTCTTTCTCCCTGGGGAAGTGCTGTTGCAGGTGCAACTGGCGCAGTTCTCGCGAATGCGATCGTATATCCCCTGGATATGTACGTCGTTTCCCTTATGGTTGCAGAATCTGAAGGTTACGAAGCTAACACAAAAATGATTTGATGGACAGAGTCAAGACGAGACTGCAGGTGCAGGTGAAGAGCGATAAGACGGACGGATCGGATGGAACGATGCACTATGAATCGACTTTGGATGCCATCAACAAGATTGTGGAGAACGAGGGAATCGAAGGTCTATACTCTGGAATGGTTGGGTCTTTGATCGGTGTTGCATCGACCAATTTCGCCTACTTCTACTGGTACAGCGTCGTTCGCTCCCTCTATATGGCATCTGATCGGGTGACAAAGCCCCCCGGCACCGCTGTCGAGCTGAGTCTGGGTGCCGTCGCGGGTGCTGTCGCTCAGATCTTTACTATTCCGGTCGCAGTCATTACAACAAGACAACAAACACAACCAAAGGGGGAGAAGAAAGGCCTGTTCGAGACGGGTAAGGAGGTTGTCAACAGCGAGGATGGCTGGACTGGTCTGTGGAGAGGTCTCAAGGCCAGTTTGATTCTCGTCGTTAACCCGGCAATCACATACGGCGCCTATCAGCGCCTGAAGGACATAATTTTCCCAGGGAAGAACAGTCTCAAACCTTGGGAAGCTTTCCGTAAGTTGCAGGCATCATTCGACTGCGGTCACCGCTTGAAGACTAACTGCTATTGAAGTTCTCGGTGCACTTTCAAAGGCTCTTGCCACCATTGCAACTCAGCCACTGATCGTTGCGAAGGTTGGTCTTCAGTCTAGGCCCCCACCAGGTCGCGAAGGGAAGCCCTTCAAGACCTTTGGCGAAGTCATGCGTTATATCATTGAGAAAGAAGGAGCTCTTTCCTTGTTCAAGGGCATTGGACCCCAAATCACCAAGGGCCTTTTGGTACAAGGTCTCCTGATGATGACCAAGGAGAGAATGGAACTTATGTTCGTTCTTCTCTTCGCATACCTACGCAAGATCAGGCAAGAGAAGCTTCGAAAGGCCGTTGACGCCGCTGCGTCGAAGGCCAAGACGAGTCTTCCTGCGACACTCAAATAGAATTTCTGACTCAGTCGCCTTTAATTTTCTTTGTTCAGCGACGACGATTTCCCGTCCACCTTCATTTCTGTTTCTTCTTCCAGGCGCTTGGGTTGTATATTCGCGGGCTTTCCTCGAAGGTTTTTATCCTCTTGTATATTATAAGAGGCAGCCATGATATATAGAGCATGAACTATACAAGGTGTATATCAAGGATAGACCTGCGTAATGCAAAATCTGATGATTACATAGAGGCCAACATGTGTCAGGGAATCTCTCGCGATAGAGTCAGATATCGATAGGGTATACAGACGAATCCCACAGATAAATCAGTTAGTATTGCGTGCTACCAGCAACAAACATCATTAAAAAATTTTAAAATGTAGGATATGATTTCGATGCTGTTCGAAATAAAGTACTGTGGTCAATCTAGCTCTGTCCTCTTCCCTCGGACAACGGGACATATATTTCAGGTCTGACCGCCCAACCCTTCCCATAAACAACACTATTTACCAACTGCGCTTCTCTCCATTGCCATCGAACTTCGGATTGCCAGTCCTATCTGGCCAATTCTCCGCAGTCTTAACCCCTCCAAACAAGCAGGAGTGAGGTTATGAGCCGTCATGCGATGGCCACCATGGGCTTCCGACTCGCAAGCCCAGCAACAAACCGCGAAACACGCATCCGAACACGATGAAAGACAAACCGCAGCGAGCTCGCCCAAAACCTCAAAAAGCAAGGACTGGGAGTCCTCGGTAACAGCGATAGACTGGGCTGCCTTTACAGAAGCGAGAACGATCATCCCGACCCTGATCCTGACGAGCGGTTTCCTGGGCGCATTCTACATCCATCGCCGTTATCTGCGCCGGTTCCCGGACGCAGTGAGCATCACGCCGTCGCATTTCCGTCGCAGGAGTCTGCTGGGCCAGGTCACGAGTGTTGGCGACGGGGATAACTTTCGAATATATCACACACCTGGCGGAAGACTGGCGGGGTGGGGATGGCTGCCGTGGAAGAAGATTCCGACCTCAAAGAAGGAACTAAGAGATAAAACGGTACGTTTGGCCTCGGTTTTATGCCTGTTGTCGTCTGTTGCCAAGGAGGGTCGAGGACTATGTCTCATACTGGAATTCAGGTCCACATTCGCCTAGCCGGGATCGACGCCCCCGAGCTCGCACATTTCGGCCGTCCCGAACAGCCGTTCGCCCGCGAAGCACACCAATGGCTTACCTCGTATCTTCTCAACCGTCGAGTCCGCGCCTACATCCATCGTCCGGACCAGTATCAGCGTGCGGTCGCCAGTGTGTACGTGCGGCGGTTTCTGGACTTTCCGCCCCTTCGTCGTCGGGACGTGTCGTACGAGATGCTGAAACGGGGGCTCGCGACTGTATACGAAGCGAAATGGGGCGCGGAGTTCGGCGGTGAAGCCATGGAGCGCAGGTATAAGAAGGCAGAGTGGTGGGCGAAGCTGAGGGGTGCTGGACTGTGGAAGGACTATCGTCGCAATAGGACAGAGTGGGAGAGTCCCAGAGAGTACAAGAACCGTATGGGACTGGAGGACGCTGTGCAACCCCGGGTTGAAACTAAGAAATGATATAATGACCGGGATTTGGATTCAGGGTGGTTTATGGTGTCTATAGCCTGCTGTCACGACGTTATGGTTGATATCCTTTGCCTTCCATGTATGATGTTGATGTCTTGGATAAATTAGGAGACTATATATCTTGTCGCATAGATTCAACCGGTGTTTGCATCGAATCAAATATCCTTCGTGAATAAAGATAAGCTTGACAACTGAGTATGCTCGGTAGAGCAGATGGAGCCCATGCAGTCCTGACCATGTAGTTCAAAACATATGGAGTCATGCAGAAGTGATACCCAATTCATAACGAAAACCGTGATTGTACGTCTTGCCCGTGTCTACCAACCAATAGCACATGGTACCGCTTAAATTTCAACAGCAATATGCCCAACCGGCAAGTTTCAACAGAACTTGCGCTCAATCTCTGCAAAGAGCTTTGGGCTAATCTCATCGCTAGAGTTGCCCTCCACACGCCACAGGCAGCCCTTCCGCTCATAGTACTCCAGCAAAGCCTTGCTGGTTTCTTCGAACTTGTGCAGTCGCTGCTTCCATGTATCGATTGAGTCGTCCTGCCTTTGCGTCAGAGGCTCCCCTGTCACATCGTCCTTGCCAGGGACTTTGGGGACGTGGAAATCGGTATTGTACACTCTCCCGGACGGTTCGTGGACCCAGCGCGATGCGATTCGCGAGAGAATAACGGATGGTGGTGTGACAAGGTGAACGACGAAATTTACGGGGACAATGGTGTCCAAGCTCGACGCTTGGGCGGCGGTTCGTGGGAATCCGTCAAGGATGAATGAGGCGGACGGGGATAACGAGGGGGTCGGACGAGATGTGTGATGTGAGGTGGCCGTTGCGAGAGGCGCTGTTGCTGGGAGCCAGCCCTTGGACTTGAATTCGGAGGAGATGAGCTCGAGGATCATGGAATCGGGAACGAGGTTGCCAGCCTGCATAGCGGCCTCTGCTTTGAGACCTTCGAGCGGACAACACGGTTAGAGACATGCGCCTGTAGGACTCAATAAGATGACTTGATTTACCTAATAGGGTCTTCTTCCGCACATTTTCGCGCAACAGGTCCCCTGAGCTGATTGAGGATAGCTCTGGATATCGTGCGAGGAGCCTTTCTGTCTGAGTCCCCTTCCCTACGCCAGGCGCACCAACGAGGATGATACGCGCAGCCTTTTTAAGCTGCCGAGTGATTGAGTTCATTCCCTTCCTTCGCCCGTGTGCTGATCTGAAACGCTCTTCGAAGGGGGATTAGGAGCCGCCCAACGTTCCGACAGCTTCTCGGGTTATTGGTCCTTAGTCGCAATGTTGCCGGATGTAATCAATTGATGACAAAGGGAGGTTGAGACTTCAGCTATCATACGATGTACATAGTCGAATCGATTATTTCAAGTGTAAGGTACTTGAGCCGGAGATTGACAGAGGAGGTCGTAACTGTCGGGAATCATATATGACCTGTCGATCAAAACACCGAATCCGCAGAAGTGTTTGAAATTATCTCCGGCACTCGATCGCAGAGCTTGGGAGTTGGGACGAATTCTGTGGGGTTTAGCACCGTCGTCTTGATTAGGAAATCGGTGAGCGGAGATCGGAGGAGAGTCCGAGGAGTCTGTGCGACCCTTTGGTGGCAGCAGAATGTTACTTATACGCCGGACATTGGAGGATACAGCTATATCAGAGGGTGTATAGACATGCGATGGACCGATGACATGCGATGTTGTACTCCGCAGTATACTCTCTTTCACATGCATGCATTATTGATACTTCCAAGTCCAATCGGGTGCATGAGCAACCTTTCCAGGTGGTAACGACTCCACCGGGCAAACCCCGTAATTCAAATCTACCAGGACTTTTTGGACGGATCCTCCAAGCGTTCCTCGGCTGTCGAAATGGAGGCCTGAGGCTGCAAAATTTTGGGGGGGAAGGGGATAGTCACGTGCCTTTAGTGATCGACGCGTGTCTGGCGCGTCTCGCGTGAGGTTCGTGAAAGTGGACGATATTGGAGTCTCGACGGTAGCTCTACGAGACTACCATTTGAACACAATATTCGCGCGCAGATAGATTCGGATGTCATTCTGGACTGCAATTCAAAATGATTCGGCAAGATTTTCAGAAAATTGATCCAAAGAGAAGAGCGACCTTGGACCACAAGAAAAAGCAGTTCGCATCGCCAGTATACAAGCAGCAAGACTACCCGCACCGTCTGAATTTCTATGATATTCCCCCGACCGCGGAGATCACACTTGAGCAGTTTGAACAATGGGCTATCGATAGACTCAAGGGTATGAATGGTGATTTCTGTTAACGTGATGCGTTCATCCGCTCATAGTTCTGTCCAGTATTGGCCGAAATCGAAGCCTGTTCCTATCGAAATAAGTCTGCTGCGGAGACTGCGGTGCACATCACTCCACTTTTGCAGAAATATCTCCCGCTTTCCTCCAATACATCCTCTTCCTCCGGTGCAGCAGATCAGCGACTAAAGAATGAACGCCAGAAAGATCATTATTCCCACTTCATCCTTCGCCTGGCGTTTTCAGCAACCGAGGACCTCCGCCGACGCTTCGTGCGGGCGGAGACAATGCTGTTCAGATTTCGGTTTCAACAAGATGACTCACGGGAGAAACGTGCCTTCATTGACTCCTTAAATCTGGATTGGGAACCTGTGAGTGATGAGGAGAGGCGCGATGTTGCTGAGAAATTAGTGAGCGCGACACCCGGTCTGCGGCGTGTCGATGAGGAGACTTGGTACAAAGTGGACTGGGAGCGAGTACCAGAGCTTGTGGAAAGGAGAGCGGTGCTTCTGTCCAAGGGGAAAGCATATGTGCCTGGCAGAGAACAATTGAGTATGATCATAGCCGAATTTACGGCACGATTGGAACGCGCCCTCGAGGTATGTGTCTCCTTTACACTGCACTGTGAATGGTATGAGTTGGCTGACCACTACAAGCTCACGAGCCGGGCTCTCCCACGATTGGATGAGGATGATCGTCTTACGCCAATCCTGAATCACCTGTCGAAGAACTTCGGTAGCGCAGAATCAGTATACTCGGAAGGTGAAGGGTTTGTTGAAGGCGCACCAATTACTGCCAGTAACATCGATCGCCTTTCACAGCACTTCCCTCTCTGCATGCGGAGTCTACACATGACGCTGCGCAAGAACAACCACTTGAAGCACTTCGGTCGACTTCAATATACGCTCTTTCTCAAAGGAATCGGTCTATCTCTCGAAGAGTGTATTGTTTTCTGGCGACAGTCCTTCAAAGGCTTTACAGACGACGAGTTTAATTCCCGGTACAAATACAATATCCGCCACGCCTATGGTGATGTCGGTGGTGACGTGAATCGAAGAGGTCGGGGATACCCTCCTTACTCTTGCCAGAAGATCCTCAACGACTCCAACCCCGGAGTTGGCCAGACTCATGGGTGCCCCTACCGTCACTTCTCCGTCGATAATCTCATCGGACTGCTTCAGTCCACAGGTGTCCATGACAAGGACGTTCTACGAGGCGTGCGCGAGGATGTTGAGAAGACGCGCTATCATATTGCTTGCAACAGAGTCTTTGAATGGGCGCACAAAACGGATATCAAGCGAGTCAAGGAAGACGGTACTTGGAGTCAGACGGATTTGGACACCATAGTTCATCCGAACACCTATTTCAAGCGCAGCTATCTCCTCAAACAAATGGGGAAGCCTCCCAAGGATGCATGAGGTGCGGATACGGTTTGACGAAGCTATGCTTTTCTATCTTTGTGGCCAGGTTCTTTTTCTCACCAGGCGTTTTGGTTATGGGAATTGCAGGACGCAACATCGGGATTATATGTTGACAATGCCAAGTATCAAAACACTCAAAGTACTCTTTGCAGGAATTTCCGCATTAATACTGTATATAGCTTAGGTCTCTAAGGAGCAAATTGTACGAAGTCATTTGTAACCACAGCTGATTCCCAGATTATCGCAAAGGATCGGAACGACCTTTCAAAGCTAGGTGCCCAGCGTCGGGTCAGGTCAGTCTTCGCGCGACGCGAAAACAGCTTCATCATGACAAGAGACAGAAGCTGTTGATGTATGTTATCGGCGGTTATTGATGAGAAGAAGAAAAGAAAAAAAATGTTGCGGAAGCGGGCAGTCCGGAAGTATTTAAAGCAGTGAAGGCGGCGCGCTAGTCACGCTACGGCTGTCGGCAGCAACCAAGGATGCTGCAACCTGGCCTCATGCCAACAGTACCAGCTTCACACAACATACCTCCCAAGATCCACATCTAGCTCCCGGACAAAAGCTGTTGGCGTCTGTCACTTGAAGATAAGATTATGCTACAGAAATTTGTTTTCACTATATAGTCGAAGTGATCTTAGAGTGTCTTGTTTGGTCCGCAGTTTGGGGCTCAATCAATAAACAACCCCCTCCTATCCACCCCCCATCACCGCATGATGGACTACGAAGCGTTGAAGGATCAATGGAGCGATGTCGAAGAACGTGATGGCATCAGGCTCAGCTGGAACACATTTCCAAGCACTCGCATGGTTGGTTTACTGGGATTGTATCGCCTCCATGCGCCTCCGTACTCATTCACATTCGCACACAGGAAGCGTCCCGACTTGTTGTCCCTATTGCCGCTGTTTACACTCCCCTGAGGGAGAAGGCCGATTCGCCATTACTACAATATGAGCCGGTGACTTGCAAAGCACCCTGTCGGGCTGTCCTGAACCCCTACGCGTATGACCTACGCCCCTGTCGGCTCTGAGCTTGCAGCGCGTGACTGACGAAGGACAGCAACGTCGATGTTCGGGCCCGGATCTGGATTTGCCCTTTCTGTCTCATGCGCAATCCCCTTCCCCCTCACTATAAGGACATCACTGAGAATGCGATACCACCGGAACTGCACCCTCAGAGCACGACGATCGAATACCAATTGGCGCGCCCCGCTCCCGCACCCCCTATCTTTGTCTACGTCGTCGATACTTGCCAAGAGGAAGACAGTCTGAAGGCGTTGAAGGATACCCTGATTCTGAGCTTGTCTCTGTTGCCGCCGAATGCTCTGGTCGGATTGATCACTTATGGCACAATGGTACGAACCGGATACCTTTGTTTGGTTTCGGATGACCTATTAACATCAAGAGTATAGGCCCAAGTTCACGAGCTTGGATATACCGAATGTGCGAAGTCGTACGTTTTCAGAGGCAGCAAGGAGTATGCGGCGAAGCAAGTCCAGGAGATGCTCGGACTCCTCGCCGCTGGACCTCGTCCAAACATGCCTCAGCAACCAGCTCGCCCGCCGGTTGGTCCCGCTGCGCGCTTCCTGCTACCCGTTCAGCAAGCCGAGTTCCAGATCACCAACGTCCTCGAGCAGCTGCAGCGTGATCCTTGGCCCGTTGCCAATGACAAGCGACCCCTCAGATGCACTGGTGTGGCTCTGAGTGTTGCTGTTGGCCTGCTCGAGACATCGTTCCAGAACGCTGGTGGGCGCATCATGGTTTTCACCAGCGGTCCCGCTACGGAAGGCCCTGGTCACGTCGTTGGACCTGAGCTGAAGGAGCCAATGCGTTCCCACCACGACATTGACCGGGATAACATCAAGTACTACAAGAAGGCTGTCAAGGTAGGCGTCATTCTGTCTACTCATACGGGCTGCTCTCATGCTGATCAATTTAGTTCTACGACGCCCTGGCCAAGCGCGCGGCTAACAATGGACATGTTGTCGACGTTTTTGCCGGCTGCCTGGATCAAGTCGGTCTTCTGGAAATGAAGAACCTGGCCAACTTCACTGGAGGTCATATGCTCCTTACAGACAGCTTCACGTCATCACAGTTCAAGCAGTCATTTGTTCGGGTCTTTGATAAGGACGCCAACGATAACCTCCTGATGGGCTTCAATGCCTCTCTTGAAGTACTAACTACAAAGGAGCTCAAGGTCACTGGACTTATCGGTCATGCAGTTTCACTGAACAAAAAGTCAAGTTCGGTGGGAGAAACAGAGTGTGGTATTGGCAACACCTGTGCCTGGAAAATGTGCGGCATTGATCCATCCTCAAGTTACGGCGTGTACTTTGAGATTGCCAACCAAGGCGGCCCTGCAGCCGTGCAACCAGGCCCTCAGCGGGGTATGATGCAATTTTTGACCTACTACCAGCACGCTTCTGGTCATTATCATCTCCGAGTTACAACTGTTGCACGCCCCTTAAGTGGCCCAACCGGTGACCCGACCCTCGCACAGTCCTTTGATCAGGAAGCTGCTGCCGTCCTGATGGCACGTATTGCTGTCTACAAGGCAGATGTCGACGATGGACCGGACGTCATCAGATGGGTTGATCGCATGCTCATCAGACTCTGCTCTCGCTTCGCGGACTACCGGAAGGACGACCCAACCTCATTCCGCCTGGAAAAGAACTTCACGCTTTATCCGCAATTCATGTTCCACCTCCGTCGCAGCCAGTTCCTGCAGGTGTTCAATAACTCGCCTGACGAGACAGCTTTCTACAGACACGTCCTCAACCATGAGGATGTTGGTGATGCCCTTGTAATGATTCAGCCAACGCTGGATTCGTATTCTCTGGAACATGAGGGAAGCCAGCCTGTTCTTCTCGACTCAGCTTCAATCCAGCCCACTCACATCCTTCTGCTCGACACTTTCTTCCATATCCTAATTTTCCACGGAGAGACCATTGCGGAATGGAGGAAAGCAGGCTACCAGGAGCAGGAAGGTTATGAAAACCTGAAGGCTCTCTTGGAGCAGCCTAAGGAGGATGCTAGGGTTGGTCCATCCACTGCAGTTATAATACGAGGCACAAGCTAACCTCATGAATAGGAATTGATCGCTGACCGTTTCCCACTGCCTCGTTTTATCGTCTGTGACGCTGGCGGATCTCAAGCGCGTTTCCTCTTGTCTAAGTTGAACCCCTCTACTACACATACGACAGGAGGTTACGGTGGAGGCGTCACGTCGCAGACCATCTTCACCGATGATGTCTCGTTGCAGACGTTCATGGATCATTTGATGAAGTATGTTATCCTAACATGTTTTACAAATGTCATGAATCACGCTAACCCACCAATCTAGACTTGCGGTTTCCGGAACTAGCTAGACATGACGAGGTGATGGCCATAGCGAGAGAAAAAGGGCGGTTTGACGTCGGTCCTCGGGGTCGCTTGTATCTTTAGCGGTGATTTTGTCTTGGTTTTTTTTTTTTTTTTCCCCCTTCTCTTTACCCACAATATAGCAAGTGCGTAAGTCGATGGTGATCATCCCATATATCCATAGATGGTATCGACAGGATATCTACATACGGCGTCTGGAAAGGCCCTCGAATGTATGAGCATCTTAAAGTACGGTAGACGTCATGTGACCACGGTGGGGTTAGCCCTAGGAGCTTTCCCCGTTCGAGATTTCGCTTAGCTGGAGGTGCGGGCCAAGCTAAAATGTCCTCAACTTCTTAAGGAAATTTTGTGAACTTCTATTTTGCTTCTTCGTACCATCCACCCCGACCAACACTCCAAGGACGATTGACGACCTTTCGCACTCGCCATGCGTAAGTATCATCTCCTTGGCTATAACAAAAATGGCGACTAACATAGCACCCATTGGGCAGCTCCCAAGCTCGATCCCAATGAGGTGAAGATCATGTAAGTTCATATTGTCTTCGCGCCTCGAAATTCTGCAGCGACAGAGCTAACAATTATATAGTCACCTGAGAGTGACTGGTGGTGAGGTCGGAGCCCAGTCCGCTCTGGCTCCCAAGATTGGTCCTCTCGGTCTGTCCCCCAAGAAGATCGGTGAAGATATTGCCAAGAACACTGGTGACTGGGTAAGAATTCAAAAGGACTCGAAAGATGAAGAGTAACCGATCGCTAATAAGAGGATTTTTACGACTTTATAGAAGGGTCTCCGTGTGACTGTCAAGCTCACCATCCAGAACCGTCAGGCTACGGTCTCGGTCGTGCCCTCCGCTTCCTCCCTGGTCATCAAGGCCCTCAAGGAGCCTCCTCGTGACCGCAAGAAGGAGAAGAACATCAAGCACAGCAAGTCCATCCCCTTCGACGAGATCGTTGAGATTGCTCGCCAGATGCGTCACCGCTCTCTCGCCAAGGAGCTCAGGGGTACCGTCCTTGAGATCCTCGGTACCGCTTTCTCTGTCGGTTGCCAAGTCGATGGCCGCAGCCCCAAGGATGTCTCTGACGACGTCAAGGCTGGCGAGATCGACGGTAAGTCCTGTTGAGTACACTTTTAGCCGAAGTGGAACTAACGTTTAAATTAGTTCCTGAGGAATAAATGATCTAGGAGTGCGGCGGTCGTCAATTCGGTTTGTAACGACATGCTAGTTACAGAGAATATGATCATTCCCCTGGACAAAATTTTTTTACGAGTTTATGACCTAAGATTCCCAATTGTGTTCGTCTGAGAAATCCTACGCTTTTTTGCTAGGCAGTCCGTCCCTTCTCTCCATTCCTGTTCTATGCTTCTCGTGGTTTGCTTGCTTTCCCAAATGCGAGCTGGATCATGAAGTAGCGTCCCTTCAGATGACCTTTGCAACACTCTGGCTCTTACCGTTCTTTCCCGCCTTCGGGCCTGGATTGAACTCACGCAACGTGGTATAGGCTTATTTTACGCAAAGAAGATCAACACTTGACCCTCTACTCACCGCGGTATCCTTGGAGGGGAGCTTGCTTCTCTCCGTGGGTACAGTGGTCCATCTTTTGGGTCGACATCGCTGCCGT